CTCGGTATGTACAGACGGTTTCAGAGGTTTCAGAGGTTCGTGTGAAAGAATGCAGTTTGTTAGGGCTTGGAGAATATATCTGGAGAAGGAGTTTTGAGATAATCGCTACAAGTCAGTGTCCATATAACAAAAAGCAGATAAACTTTTTTTGTAGGTGGCTGCAAAACAAAGTGCCCGTCACATGTGGCTCTATAGACCCATTGGTTAGTTGACTGTCCAATGACCTGAGAGTTTCAAGTCACATGATCAATCTACCATATTAGGCAAAAAAAGAACCGATATCTCCACGCATGAGAATCTTCCTGTTTAAACAGCAATTCCTGTTGCCCAAATTTTCACGTGTTTATTTGTTTTGAGCCTGTTTTGGGGCTTTTTTTTTGGCCAGATTTCTCATCTTTTTTCCTGTTTTTGCATAAGTTTCCTGGGTTTTTTTAATTGAAATTTATTCTCATGCCTGTATATATCTCTCACTTTATATTGGTAATGGTCACAATTTGCCAACAGGATTTGTATTCAGTTGGTGTGAATTTAAGACAATCGGGCACTGCTCGCCGATTGTTGCCGGGGGCAACTGGAGGCCACAGCTACAAAACCAGCCCACTCTGCGGAAAAAAATTCCCAAAGTTGAGCCAAACGTGGATTAAAATTATTTCCAAAGGGTGTTTCTAGAACCCGCCCTTTGATAATTGTCCCCATTGTATTCTGATAGGACCATGTGGCGGGCATTGTCTGAAACATCGTGTCGGATCACATGGCGGATTCACATGTGCCGGTTTCAGTCCACCGTGAACGAGTTTTTAACACGTCAAGAGGGAAAGAGAGAAAACCGCACAATATTTTGTTTCCGCCCGATTAGTCAAACGGTGAAGAGTTGTAAAGGTTGAGTGTAAGCCTCGATGAATGAAATGTATAGGCGGCCACGCAGAAGGGAGCACGACATGTGTGCACAATTTCGTCGTAATCCCTCGCCAGGATCTGAAAAAACGGAGAGAGAGAAAAAAAGACTGGGCTTTTATGTACCCGGTATCCTGTATAGCTGGTGACAATAGTCTTAACCCGTCCTATTGTGGTGCCAGGTGTAGTTTCCCATGCTATTGTGGCATGTGCATCCATGTGCTCTGATGACCTTCAACAGCAGTGCAACTGTCTGGTACAATACTCTGAATACATCACAATTTTGCGGAGCAATGTAAACATTTGAACCAATAGGAAGTTTAAATTTGTAAGCCTCAAAAACCTGTTTTTGAAGATTAAACAATCTCCGGAGATATAATATGCTAAATACATGAGGCACTATATAAAGTCATTGAGGAACGTGAAATTTAGAAACTTTTTACTTTCAAAGAGGGATAAAATGGATAAATTGTTTAACATTGAAAGTAAAATTTGAGAATATGTGCATGTATCTTATTTTTCTCTTGGGAAACTTGAAAAATTCAAATAGTGTTGAGGAAAGAATGCAGTATGCAGACACCACTTGTTTGGTCGTGATCAAATTATAAGTCTCTGGATAGTTGAGTTCATTTTCAAAGTAGGCCTACATTGTATTTTCCAACAAAATTACAAATCCTTCTCAATCCTGGATTCATGCCTTTTGTACGTTTTTGCAGTGACTGAACTTCATTCAGATGATACTGTGAAGAAAAAAGTGGCGTCAGGTTGCAACATTCTTTCCAGTGTTGATATTTGACATACATGTAATGGGATCTGGATTTGAACTTTTTTTGTGTGTTTTCATTCCTAATTTTAGCCCGGCAAACGTGAACTGTTGGTCTTACTTAAAAAAAGTTAAGTCAAGCTTTACAAAGAAAAAATTGGGGCATTTACATTTTGTGTGCCTGATAAGTTGTGAACTGAGGTACACATTAAAGAATGCACTTGATGTCCAAACTTCTCGTTATGCTCGAGACAATTTCTTTAAATCTTTAAATAGACTTTAAATTGTAAATCTGTCTAAAATTGCCAACCGAACATGATAAATTTTAAACTGCTTTAAGAGATTTTTTGTTTGTATCACTTTGTGTATATGTACTGCACAAATGTCGTCACCCAAAGCGCACAAATATGATTAGTCCAACAAGGTTTTTTTCTTTTTTTCCCTTCTGTCTGTTTTGGTCGGTAAATATTAGGAATTTCATTCCCGGCAATTGGCCCCCAAGGAATTCAATCATCCTAACTGAATTTATGGCTCCCGTAAGAAGGACCCTTTTTTTTTTGAGCTTGAATTACTTGCATTTCACAAAGTGGCTCTCTGAAGAAGAAAAAAGAAAAAAAAATGTCTTTCTTTTTTTCTGGTGAGTGTATGTGTTGAGGAAGATCTATTCACGGCGTCCTGCAGCGTAAGGAGAGATAAAAGAGCTCTGCACTTTGGGCGAGAAAATGCAATTTTAGTAATTCTGTTTGATTGGAGGCAATGGCTGGGCTGTGTCTTCACGATGTCGCGAGGGAACAGTGGCATTGTCGGGCCCGGCGCTAATCACTGAATGGCGATTGCCACACCAATGTTGCCGTTATTGTGGAGGATGAATGAGATGGGTTATAGGCGAGATAAAAGGAGAGTATAGCTATACTGCTTAGGATCGGGAGGACGCTGAGGAAACAGAGGCAAGAGACACCGAGGCAGAGGAAGGAATAAAAGATGCGATCTTCGGAATGGAAGTGTTGTAGGAGGCGTCGGTAGAAGAGGGATGAATTCAGGAAGTTTGGAGTGAGGCGTGTATCCCTTGAACGGAGATGCTGTGATGAGAATAGTGATGCTTAATGGTTCGTCTTTAATAAGCAAAGAGGCAAGATTGCCGACAAAAGGATAAGATGCCCTGATGAGGACGAAACAAGATGGTTAAAGAGGAAGATGTAATAGATGTGGAGAAGAAAAGGACTAAATTGATAAACTCAAAAAGACGTTGTAAACTTCTTTAAAAATTGTTTCTGTATGAAAGTGTGAATTGCAAGGTTAAAGATGCTGTGTTTTCAGTTTCCAAAGCTGGTCAGAACATGCACGATCCTGTCGATTCGTCTAGCTTACGTCTGGTTTCCTGCAGCTGTCGTACAGTGTGTAATCTCCTACATGTAGTTTGACCAATAATATCAGTTGTCATTGTCATTCATGAAGTTGAAATCTATGAGTAAGGACAAGTAATCATTGTGGTGTTTGGCAACAAAGTCCATATCATGGTTGCCGAGTTCATTGATGATATAAGGTTGCCGAGTCCAAATTTGGATCTGGTTTCTCTCGATTTAGCCTTAAGCACAGAAAATGAGTCCAGATCTACTCAGAGATTAAATGTTGGCAATTGATACTCAGCTGTTTGTCAAATATATAACATCAGATATCAGATGACAAGAAAATCTGTCAAGAGAGCTGGCCATATAGGAAGAGAAAGGCCAAAAACTTGCCATTCTTTGATGCAATTGTTCCAGAAGAGAAAACTGTTTGGTTTTTAAGTTGCTAGTCTGTATCGCAGCTATAATGTTGTGTGGAACATGAACCAAAGTGAACTTTAATAATTCCACAATTTATTAGGGTAAAGTAGATTTTTTCTTGGGGTGGGGGGTGTGAAAATTAAAAGATATAGAAAGGGGGAAAGGAGTTTTAATGGGAGGGGAAGCAGACTGGAATGTGATCCCTCACTGGTTTTGAAAATTGAGTTGTAGGAATCGAGTAGCCCAGGCGGGAGCTTAAATGAAGGGTGGAAGGAGGACGCGGGAAACACGAACACGCCTCGGGCTTTGCATTAAGAACGTTGTAGAGAGCCACCGGGCAATATTATACCATCACAGATGAGCTAAATGCTTAATTTTCCATGCCCCACCATCCGACAAACATTTGCCTTTCTAATAACACGAGGAGGGAAAGCTGCTAGTGCAGTGCCCGGTGGTTCAGCGTTTTTTTTTTCTTTTTGCTGGCGCACATCCCGACGACCGATCCTACAGGCCCCTTTCCATTACCTTGCCCAAACACGGGTGATGTCATCCTGCGCTTGTCCCTGTGTACACAACGGCAAGGCAGCACGGATTTATGAGAAGAAAAAAGAGAAAAAGATTAGTAGACGGTTGCTGAGCCATTGAGAATCAGTCCGTGTTCCCGGGGCTGGCTGCCGCTGCCATGGCACGGTGGACCTGTTTGAAGTGAAACGTGAACTCCTAAAACACGGTCATTCAAAGAGAGTAGATTGGGGAAGGGTGGTGGTGGGGGAGCAGTACGGTTGCTGTATTTACCCAGGGTGAGCCGCAGCGTGTAAGGCCACGTCTCAGCCCAACACAAACTGCTGTTTAAATACGTTGATTCCCCAACATGCTTTAAAACGATAAGTCAGCGCAGTGTGTGTGTGTACACAAATATAATCGCAAAATGGCCGTGCGTGGTTTTTTTGGACTTTGACTTATTTGCCAAGGAATCCCCCTCTTATCTCTCACTCGTCTCGTGCTTAGCTACTGACGATTGCTGTGAAGGGGTTCCGGGCCAGCTCCGGGGAGTGTTAATGTAGGTCAGGGAACACCACTTTGCTGGTGTTTGTCTAAAAAATTGGAATAAATTGATTTTGCCGGCCGTTCTGAAAACCGGATTAGTGTTTTAGGAGGATTGTTGGTGGTGGTATAGTCGTGGGGGGGGGGGGGAGAGTTTGAGGGTTAGCGGTGGTAAAGTACATGAACGTGTAACAACAATTCATCATTCTGGGTTTTAGTGATCTGTTCAGTGCAATGAAATCTGACATGTTTGGCAATACGAAGCAGTAAATCTCTTTACTTTTATGTGTACAGTACAATGTATAAACATGAGAAATGGAGAAAAGGTATATTTTTGGAAACAAAACCTTTTGACTGTTTCATAGCTGAGTTTGACTTAGTCTTTTCTGAATGTGCACAAGGCCATGGCATTTTTGCATGACCATCAGGCATCGTCGGCAATGTGTGCAAATTCAGGGAGTACTTGTGCACAGGGCCAAACGCTTATCAAATGTCTCATTGTCTTTTTTTTCTTTGTTTCTTGCCTTCTGCAGCCTGTAAGAAGAAAGAGGAGGAGGCCAAAATCTCGCAGCCCCAGAACCACATCAAGAAGCCGCGGCTGGTCTTCACGGACATCCAGCGTCGGACACTGCACGCCATCTTCAAGGAGACCAAACGGCCGACCAAAGAGATGCAAGTCACCATCGCCCAGCAGCTGGGCCTGGAGCTCAGCACCGTCAGCAACTTCTTCATGAACGCCCGCCGGCGCTCGCTGGACAAGTGGCAGGACGAGATGGGGAACAGTACCCACGGCAACCCCAACGGGAACGGCGGCTGCGGAGCCAACACCCCGACGACGATAACCCCCAAGAGCGAATTCAAGGCGTAGGGTCAGAGCTAAGATTTATTTATTGATATCGGAATCTAGAAACAAAGTTTTTAAAAATCCTGGGATACCATCTTGGAAAGACGCCGAGCAAACTCTCCCCCCCCCCCCCATGACAACATCCCCTGAAGAGCACATTCAAGGCATAAATTCAAGTCTTAGCCAATGACACAATACACTTATTTACATTTGAATTCAGGAAATACAAGATATTAAGTACTGGGAAACCTTTTTTGAAAGAATTCATGTAGAAAACCTTTTAGCCGACACGTGCCAGCGTTGTGCTAAAAGATAGATGCTTACGTAATACTCAGCTCTATTCACATTTTTAAGTCTAAAATGTGTATTGGCTCCATGCATGAATAAGAGAGGGCGCTTTTTTACCACTGTCAAGAGCCCCATGGACGGGACGCACCGCGTGCGCGTACTGGTTCCCACACCTAAAGCGCAAAGTACGCACGACTTATTATATTTGAATGTGTACAAAGCCATAGCATCTTCGCGTGAGTGTCAGGCGTTGTCGGCAATGCGTTGCATTGTCGACTCCCAGTGGTCTCCCCCAACTCTCCATTTCTCGCCGTTGAGGGGTAGTTGCAATGCACGGAGTCCATACATGTAGACAAGCGTATTGGGCCAAAGTTGACTTCACATGCTAAAGCAGAGCAACAATGCCATGTGAAGTTTTGATCAGCATGAGGGTTGCAATTTATGGAAGTGCTAAGTCAAAAAATTTGCTGGGGAAGTTTGCTTGAATCGTTAATCGAGAATCAGTCACAAACAAGTACATGTAGGTGACATGACAATTGGGTTTTTGTAGCTGTTCTTGCAAACCAAGATTTCTATATTTCTCAGCAAATGTGTACTCACATGCAACTATATGAAATTTGGCCCACGAACTGACTTTACAATGTACTTTCTCAATACTTGAACGTGTGATAATATTCTTACAGCTACCCCAAAAGTTAAAAACCATTTCTTATTTGTTTCTTGGTTAGACACTATACTTTTTGTATGTTCATTGCACAAGCAGGATTTTTTCCCAACAATGACATATTAGTATTTCCAAAACCTAATATTGGAGCAATTCTCTCAATTTCTTATATGGACATGTAAATATAATATCTCAGGAAAGATGTACATTATTTTATTGTACAGGTGTTTTAGGTGTTTGGTTTCATTTCAGTAAAATCCTCACCGGACTTTTTGGTTTGGATCTTGCAAAGAAAAATTGCAGAAACTATAGGCCTATTGTCCGACACTTGGAAAAGTAAATCAGTTTTTCTTTAAAGGCCCGTCTCAATTCATATCGGGGTAGAGTTCCAAACACGTTGCAGGTAGAATCATTCACTTTGTCAGGGAAGAAGCTTGCATTTGTCTTGGACATGTTCCGCGGAAATTTTAATTAGCAACAGCTTGACTCACCAATACTGATAACTTCTTTGCAAGAAGATTGCGGGGAAGTTGTTCAAAATCTTGCAACTTATACCCGATACTATGTCTGCAACTTGTCCATAGCTCGTCCAGGATATAAATTCAGTCGGTCCCTGAACATTTTACAGCTGTAATTTAGGGGCGGAATTTTCATAGAGTATGGGAAATGTTTGCCCCATAAAATTTCACTCAGCAATTATGACAGTGTTAAGACCCAACCTTATTTTGACTTTATTTGGAGGAAACATCCGATGAAATCATTTTCCCAGCTAAAAGCAGCATTTTTCTACTTGCATGTACAAATGTACCAGTAGTGTTGGCTTTGGGCCCCATAATCAGAATATCTTGGCTCAACCAGTCAAAAACAAAATTTGCTTTTTCGAAACCAATATTTTTTGATGGAGTATTGGCAAATCCGTTTGATCGGGTTGTGTATACAAAAGTAACACAAAACTGCAATAAGTTCTTCATGTATTTCTACCTCTTTTCAATACTCTTTTAGTCGGACTAGTGGCAAAACTTCAATAGGTTTTTGTTTTTCCTTTTTGTAGAAACTTTTTGTTAAAATCAACAGAGTGGCAATATGATACTTTCTTTTCACTGCTTTATCGTGGTGGATCTATTTTACGTGTGTGCTTTTGTTCACCTAAGGACAAGTTTCATTGATTTCTTAAACATTCCATAATGCTTTAGATTTTTTTTTTCTCGGTCACAGTACAAGTTTGTGTATATTTTTTTGCCGTATTTAAGCACATAATTTATTACAGTTTTATTTTGAAAAACCAAACTGCTCACTATTTAGCTGTTTGAATCAGAAGAGATCGCTCGTTCGCTCGCTGGTGAACTTCAGACCAAAATCATTCCAGAATCGTGTTACAAATAAAGAATTGGAAATTAGATTTTTGGAAAGTGTTTTGGTTGATTTGCGTGCCGTTCCGTGCTGCAGGCTACATACTTAAAACATAGACTTGGTGAGGTTTTCTGTAGATACTTATGTATTTTGAAGAAAAAAAATAGTAATTTATTTGTAAAGACAAAACAGTGTAATACCAAAGTGAGAAAAAAAGTGGGCAGAGGAACATTTAAACATATTTGTCCATTTTTAATTAAATTTTTCTTTTTTTAACATGATTTTTTTTTCATGTTAAGAGTGGGTAATTCTTCGAAGAATTTACACTCAATCTGCGGCCAGCATATACTTAACATATTTAAGAGTTAGCTTACTTCTTATTTCAGATTCTGTAAATTTGTTTGCAATTTTTTTTTTAGTTTGTGTTTGATTTAGCTTTTGATTAGACGGTTTGATTAAAGTTTAGACAACAAGTTCTCCAATTCTAAGAATTGGCCTAGAATGCACGTTTACTTTTAGAATTTTTTTAAAACAATTGAATTTCACATTTCAAAATGTGTTTTATTTTGCTAATTCAGCACATGTCATTATTATTTCATCACCATGGCGATATGCACCCGTCAAAAATTACTCTAACCCCAAGCTTTCAAACTTTTGGTTCAGTCAAATTGCAGAAGTCAGGATGCCAGTTGGAGCCCTTAAAATGCAAAGGCCATTGAAGAAATGTCGGCTTCAGTTGCGGCTGTAGCTTAAAATCACTTAGTAAGATCCGACCCTATAAGCTGATACCTAGGTTTAGGAAATTGCCAAAATAAGCAAATGTCAGATCAGAATAACAAATGGCAAGTGCATTGCATATCCATTTTCTTTTCAATACTTCCAAGTCACCGGGGTTTCATTGCCAAATTTGTAGAGTAGACTTTGTTAAAATTATCGGTTATGAATTTCATCTGTGAGATTGGCATAAATTCTGTTTGAATTTCTTGTATTTGATTTGAATTAGCAATGCTGGTTATAAACCAGTATTGAGAATTTCTTCCAGCTTCATCAAGAGGCTTTTGTCTGTTTCATATTAAAAGTATAGGGAGGCAATGTTTATACAGTGGTGATGAGAACCAAATTCTCCCTACGTATATGTACAAGTTGTTGGTTTAAAAAAAATGCAGCTTTTGAAATATTCATAGGAATTGTTTAACCTGTGAAGACTTTTATTGCAAAAGCCGACATTGTTTTTTGGTTTCCCCCTCGGAATTGTAATTATTTGGTTGTACAAAGTTTGAACTGAAATTTGAGAAAGACACATTTCGGAACTTTTTACTATTGTGTGCGTTTGTTTTGTGCAATACAACCTACTGTAAATACACATTAATGAGCAAGTTTCATCAAGAACTAATTTTGGTCTTACTGTTGGTCCTTTGTTGACAGCATTGCACCTATGTGCTAATGTTAAACTTCAAACAAGCTTCATTTCATTATGTTCAATTGTCATTACAAAAATGGCATGGTCCTGGTACCCTGCCATACATGTACTTGTTACAACATTGGTATGGCTGTTGGTAACCAGTGCTGCAAGCAACTTTTAGTCTGGTTTCAAATATTTGACAACACTAGCCAACCAACGACAAGCTCCTTTTTGTTTTACGAATATTAGTTTAAAAAAATCATAGTTCTTGATTAAACTTGCTCAGATTTTAGAAGCCTGACGTGGTGTGTGATTGGTCGACTGTTGTGAATATTTAATTAGGAATTTTTGGACCTAAAAAATTTGACCATGGGACATATCCTGCCTGGTTTTTTTTTTGTCTTTTTTTTTCTAAGCATTTTGTTGGTTGGTTTTTCAAAATTATTTTGGTAGTTTATTATCTTGGAAAAACATTGTCACATACTCTTTTGTTTTTGCTGTGCAATGCCTCAGTACATAATTGGTGTGTAACACTTCAGTTGGGAGTTCATCAGGTAGAAGTATAGAGAATTTAAAATCATAGGTTTTGAAAACGTAAAATACAGGCAACGTCAGACTAGTCGCAAGCCTAGTTTAGATGCTCCGTACCTACCCTGGGTCTTTCAGATTTGAATGTAATCATTTTAGAATTCTGTCCTTAATAATTTCAATATTTTATGTACTTAAAATGTATGGTACTTAAAACAGGCGATTTGTGTGCTCGCATTTATGGAACAATTTGGAAATCCTATACAGATTCGTTAATTTGTATGAGTTTTGGATTATTTTGCAAACTTTATAGTTTAACATTTCAAAATTAATTTATATGTGGGACCACATGGAATTTTCTGGTTATATATAAAAATACACATTTGCAATATGGTTCGACTGAGGGAATTCTATAATACGACTGTGTGCAACGTAGCTCATTAAGATCAAAATTAATCATACTCTAGATTTTGAATTATTTTGAAAAGCCCATGGCTATTCAATAAATCTTTCAAACCATGTATAATCTTCAATTTTTTGTAAGCATTTCAACACTACTTGGATAACACAATGGTTTTTAAAAGACAGATATTCATAATTTTGGCAGACAGTAAAAGTGACCAAGTATCTCTCGTCTTGGAGCTAACTGTAGGCCTATTATAATGAAAGAGCAAATGTGATTGGCCAGATCAATGCGACAATCAAAGAACATCCGATCCGCGGCTTATCACGTGACAGGGTCACGGTCAAGCATCTGACATCTGATTGGATAAAGCGAGGTGACAATCAGCCAATGAACATCTTTGCATTGCAACCGCTAATTGCATCAAATATTAATCAATGTAGAACATATTAGACCAAATATGCTTTCATCCGTAATTTTTTTTTTTCAAAAAAAGGCGGGACGATTGGTATAAAATTCTAATGTAATTAAACAATCGAATCTAGGGTTTGTGTACACTTTACGATGTAAGATTTTACAATACTGTTATCTGTATATGAAAAGCGAAGATGTCAATTATATATAAATACCGTTTGAAATAAAACTTTAAGGGTCTTTATGTCTGGAAAGTTTGTCTCGAAATTTCTTGATTTTTGGTATTCAATTGTCTCCAGCTTTTTTCCATGAGTTCGCGCGGTTAGCTCCCCTTCAAAAACACCAGACATTTTGTTCCTAAAATATCTCTCTCGTTTCTGTTAACTGCAATTTACAAATGTTTAATGTGAAGTCAATGATCAGATCAGAAATGTTGCTACAACATCCGGCTCTTGCTAGAGCAGAATTCTTAGGTTAATATATTTTTGTTATACAATTGGAGCAAAATGAGCGCGCAAGAAGCCTACAAAACAAGACGAGTTTTTAACAACATTTTCACAACTTAGACATCCCCTGTTTATTTTTTTGATTTTGGAGGATTTGTTGTCTGGATTCACAATGAACAAAACCAATGTCATGTTTTTAAAACCAAACACAACGGACACAAATATTAAAGCCACCGACTGTACATATGCCATGTGAATTTAATTAATGCCAACTTCACCACAAACATAAATTTTCCCGAAGGGACTCTGAGGTCTATTTATAGGACTTGTAGTAATATGCGGAGTTTTTATGGTCTTGCAATAATATGAATGACAGCAGTAATAATACCACCGATGATGAGAGGGAGATAGATAGTGTAGGAGCGGTCAAGGTCCCGGGAATTAACGGCTTTTTTTTTGCGAGGCGAGGGAGTCGAGTCGTGCAGGTGCACCGAGTGAAAGAGTTGATCACCCCGGAGTCAGACGCGTTTCCTTCCCGCTATCGGCACGGCCCGAGAGCACGGTGGATGCCGTAGAAGTACGTGCGTGCACACGAAGAGATTTTCCACCTGCCCTTCGTGAAGATGATTTGGGGATGAAACGAAAGGGAGGACAGGGGATATGTTGGAATGGTGGTGGTGGGGTCGGGGGTGTGGAGTGGGGAATGGTGTACAAGCATTACATTCACTGTGTGGACTTCCGAACAAAAGATGTCCACATAAACCAGGTAGCGGCGACGTTGTGTGGACTTGCCCACGTCCACACAGTGTTTCCCCCTCTCTGGAAAACAGGTTTACTGGAATTTTTGGGTTAGGTTTATCCGTGGCAAAATGAAGAGAAACACTAAAGGGAATCACTGAAAAAAACTGGGTTGAAAGATTTTTCATAGTGTGAGTAAAATGATTTTTTTTCCACAGGTTTTTCTTTACACGAAAACAAAGGAATGTCCGCACTAGGTATGTAACGTAAACACGCATGGGAACTTCTGGGCGGGGGACGACTTACGATATGATAGTATGTGTTAGATGAATAAATTAATGTGTTACAATTTAAAGTTATAAAGAAACTAACTGAAAGAGTTTTGAAAGAGTTTCATTGAAAGGATGGAACTTTGGTAGGGATGGGCGGGGGAGGGAATAGACCAGTCGCTGGCTCTATCCAGACGCGACCCTTTATTTTAGCATTTGATGGATTTAATATAATGTACATGAAGTAGGAGGTTGTTACGACAATGAAATATTCCGTTCAAAATCATCGAGTGCATTGCAATAATTGAAAATGGGGATGTCATCTTCGCCGATCCAACTAGTATATGCATGCTTCGACTTCCACAAGTAGAGGGCGCTATTCTCAGTTAGCATGTAAACATACACGCACACGACTCTGTCTTGTCTTGAATCGTTGCTAAACTTTTGTTGACATTTTCATGAATAATTTCAGATACGCACATGTGTTCTTTTGATAACGAACACCCGCCGTAGTACAAAAGGACTGGGGAAAATACATGAACGCACATTTGATAATAACGCTTACGGTATTTCCAGTTTCAAGTTGAGAAAAGAGGCAGCAACGATCCTCATACGACTCGACAGACGGAGGATGCTGACAAAATCTACTGCCACCCACTCTGGACTTCGGAAATTTGAAACCTGGGCTGGGTGAGTATTATTTTAGATATTTAAATGACATGAAAAAGGCATTAAAAATGTACTTATGAAAAAACAGTTAAATTAAAAAGAAATTTAGTCGAAGTGTAGATCTGGCGTTTCAGGAGGGGACCGGCATAGGGTGATTTTGGAAAGTGACATTTGGTTGTATTGCGCATGCCTAAATTAGTGAAGAATTTGGACAGGGCCGTATCAGTTACGTGCGAGGGTTAGAGTTCAAATAATATGAACGTGACCAAAAAAAATAAACTTTTTGATACGGCAGTTTTAAACTGATCATACCACAGCGAAGAGCATGAAATGAGCTTTAAAATGATACTAAGATTATGTCTCCAGGACACATAATTAAGGAAGATATCAGCATTTGAGTAATTATGGAAATTGAGGGTATAATGTTTTGCCTTCTGCATGGTCAGATCGGATATAGAAATCTAACGGGCCTGAACCCCCCCCCCCCCATCCCGCCAAAATTCAAAATAGCCTTCATAGTAATAAGTGTTCATTGTTGCGTAACGATAAGTAGCCCACGTATAGGCCTACTACACGAGGCTGCCGTATATTGTCCAAACAAATGAAAACAGTTGACTCATTACTGCCCGAAACATCGACTTCAATTGACTTCAAATCTTGTTCTTCTTGTCTGTTCGTCCATGAAGCCAAAACAGATGCACACAGCAATATATTCCAGGTTTTTCCCCTGCCTATTATTAAGACAAATTGTTTGTGAGGAGAATTCTAAGGAAGCCTGGTGGACGAGTGGTTAGATTCGTCGTCCACGATTCGCGGAGCCCGGGTTCGAATCCCGTCGGTGTCTTTTTGCTTTTCAACACACGCGTTCTATGCAGTCATTATAAGATGTTTAATTTCCCGTCGTAAGATACCAACTGTACCTTAGCTTAATCGGTAAGCACTGCGGCTGGTACTGTCCGTGAGTTCCAGGTTGGCGCCTTCGTACAGGTTCAGGGCATGTGGTCCACTCGGAGGATCAAGGCTTAGGGTGCCGCCCTGTTCCTCCCTTAGCTCTTTGCTTTTACATGGTGCCTGGCCCTCCGGGGTTATATGGATGGACAGGGAAGGAAGTGTGTATTGGCCGGGACCCCCGAGAGCCCAGAAGAGAACTAAGGGATTGGCTGGGGCATTGTCATGGCTCAGACCGATCCCTGAAAGCTTGGCTAGCACATAACTTTTTGATTTTTTTTTGATACTCTTTTTTTTGTTTTGTACTTTGGTTTAGTTTGATTTTTACATCTGCTCGGCAGGCTTACCATTATTAATGGCGCAATTTTTAATGGCGTAAGACACGCCGAGAAAAAAAAGCACATACATGTAACTTTTTGATTTTTTTAAGCCTCTATTTTTTAAAACTTTGGTTTAATTAGTTTCATGATTACATCCGCTCGGCAGGCCTATGGTAGTATTAAAAACAAAACAAAGGTCTATGTAATAAATCAATGAAATTTTTAATCATTGACTATAATCTAAACGAAGTTTTGTTCCATCAATATGACTATGCCATTATTGATGTCGCAATTTTCAATTGAAGTAAGAAACTCAGTATATGCAATATTGTACCAGGCAAAAATAAAAATGTAGATTCTAATGTGTTTATTACATGTTTCAAAATAACGTTTCTTTAATTGTGAACATTCCCCAAATATACAGATATTCGCAAAATAGGAAAAAGCAAGAAAACAAAGCCCCTCACCCTTAAAACTGGAAATACAAAATAGAAAAACATAGTCAAGTGGAAAACCCCAATGTACCTTTAATAATTGATTGAATTGGAACATTCCATAACATGGGGCTTTTACAGACTTGCCTTTGACTGTCAGTGACATGCAGTCACGGATCCAAACGGCCTGGGGCGGGGGTCGAACCCTTCTCCTGCTCTCACACAATAAAGTATGTACATGTGTATCTGAATCTGACGGGCCTGAACCACTCCCCTCCTCCCAACCCATCCCCAGCAAAGGTTACTAGATCCACCTCTGACGTTAGTTGGTACATTGATATGAAATGTGATATCGACTTATCACTATTTGACTCAAATGAAGTTGCTGTAGCTCATGTAGGATGAGAAAATGAAACGGGGTATTAGACAGGAACAATGCATCGAAAATTTGGGTAAAAATCATTGCAAAATATTATTTTTTTTCAATAAATCGATTATTTGTGCCCAAATCTTCGAAATAAAGGCAGTCTGAATATTGTATTATTATACTCTCCTTGCATCAATAGTCATTTCTTCGTCGTTTGGAGAAAAGTCATTTTTTGGCCAAATTTGATGAAAAATGTAAGGCTAACCCCTTGCATTTTTTTCAATTTTGGCCAAAACATTAAATTGCGCCAAACTTCCAGGAAAGATGCCTAAGAGACCCTAGAAGACATTCCAGCTCGATTTGTGGACTGATGTGCCGTTAGACAGGAACAATGCATCGAAAATTTGGGTAAAAATCATTGCAAAATATTATTTTTTTTCTCAATAAATCGATTATTTGTGCCCAAATCTTCGATATAAAGGCAGGCTGAATATTGTATTATACTATCCTTGCATCAAAAGTCATTTCTGCGTCGTTTGGAGAAAAGTCATTTTTTGGCCAAATTTGATGAAAAATGTAAGGCTAACCCCTTGCATTTTTTTCAATTTTGGCCAAAAAATTAAATTGCGCCAAACTTCCAGGAAAGATGCATAAGAGACTCTAGAAGACATTCCAGCTTGATTGGTGGACTGATGTGCTGTTAGACAGGAACAATGCATCGAAAATGTGGGTAAAAATCATTGCAAAATATTATTTTTTTTACTCAATAAATCGATTATTTGTGCCCAAATCTTCGAAATAATGGCAGTCTGAATATTGTATTATACTCTCCATGCATCAATAGTCATTTCTGCGTCGTTTGGAGAAAAGTCATTTTTTGGCCAAATTTGATGAAAAATGTAAGGCTAACCCCTTGCATTTTTTTCAATTTTGGCCAAAAAATTAAATTGCGCCAAACTTCCAGGAAAGATGCCTAAGAGACCCTAGAAGACATTCCAACTCGATTTCTGGGCTGATATGCCGTTAGACAGGAACAATGCGTCGAAGATTTGGGTGAAAATCA